GGGGGGGGGTCAGTCGGGTACGTACATTCAGAGCGGCGCACATCACCCCCGGGTCCTTCTGCCGCACCCCCGCGGCCGCATCCAGCAACACGTCCACGCCCAGACGATTGCGCGGGAGCGCTCCGCCCCCACTGCCGCCCCCTCCTCCACCCTCATCACCTTCCCCCGACCGCCCACCACCGCCACGCCTCCCGCTTCTTCCGCCTGCGCCACGGCGGCCCTCGCCTCCGGAGGAGGCCCTACCGCCACGGGGCTGCAGCGGCGGCGGGGGTTGCGATCGTGCGGCTTCGCCATCGCCATCGCCGTCGCCGCCGCCGTCGCCGTCGCGGGCGGGAGTGGACGATGACCGCCCGCCGCCGCCGCCCGCGGGAGAGTTGGGGCCCGCGCGGCAGAACTCCGGGTAAACCTAAATAAGAGACGTGGTATAAGTCGGCAGCAGCGGTGTTCGTTCTTTTGGTGATGTGTATCGAGTGCGGGTAGAGTTTGCTGGCGGTAGTCGCCGTTTACGTCTGTGCCCACAGCAGTACTGATACCAAGTGCGGGTGGAGGTTGTTGGAGTCAACGGTTTGCCGTATGCTTGGGTGCCCACTGCCCACAAGCGGCAACGACACAGCCTACAGAGGACGCACGTCTGCCGTTCGAAGGGGCTTCGCAGACTACAACACTTCGGGGGGGGGGGGCACAGCAGTTTTCGAGAGCGGTCGAAATGCTCCTGATACACCAAATCATTCTTCTTGCTGTCAGGTGTATCAGGAAGATGTCAATCAAAAGAAACGCCAAAAAGCGCGCGCACGATTGGTGAGACTCTCTCTCTCTAGTGGCTAAGTTATAATGTATGCCAGTTGGGGTCAGCTAAGACCAAGGAGGCGCTTTTCTCTTTTGCCGCGGAAAAGAAAACTCACTTAGTGAAATGAGGGGGGGGGGGGGGGGTATCCAAGATGTTACATCAAATTTTAATTGTCAATTGTTGATTTTGGGCAGGGCATGACATACACGGGGTGCACCGGACACGGGTCAGAGCGGTCTGTCTCTAACGTGAAGACAGCCACGACAACAACAACCCCACAAGCAACGACATCGACCACGCCACACGCACCAGGGGGCAGAGAACTGCTGTCCCGAGGGCATCAAGCGCGTATACCACAGTCTCGGCCCCCATCCTCTGGCTCAACATATCGTCCACCACGTTGATGAGCGCCTGCGGTAACACGGGAATGCGGTCGCACACAGACAAGACAAACAGAGCACACACAGCCAGCGGCGCCACTTAGGCAGTTGGAACACAAAGCGCGACGCAGCGGTGCTTGAATTTAGGAAGCACAAAGGCATGAGATGTTCGGTCTCGCTCAACAGGGGATGCCCCTTGCAGTATGAAGAGTAGCCAATAGAACTACATAATCCGGAGACCCCCCCTCTACCAGGACAAACCTGCATGCCACGATGGTGCATCAATTGTACCGCCGGGGACCAGTGCATCCCAAGCCGCACGGTTACGGCCTCCCTGTCCCTCACGCCCGCCGCCGTCCTGCCTTCCCAGCCGCCCCCCAACCCTCCCTGCCCTTTCACCGCCGCGACATTCGCCGCGTGGCTGGCGTCATCTACTGCCAGAGGCTTGCACTGCCAGGCCGGTCGGCCGGGCGCCCGCGACAACGACGGCGACGGAGGCGTTACTCCTGCCGCCGCCGCCGCCGCCGCCGCCTCCGACAACAAATCGCTCCCTCGCCGCGCGCGTTGCTGGTGGTGGTGGTGATGCCTGGAGGCGTGCCCACCCGCCGCGGAGACCCCCCGTTGCTTGAGCACGGCGAGCGCGAGGCTGCACCGGAGGTACTGCCGGACGCAGCCGCAAGCGCCCAGAGTCACCTGCGTACGGCGATGGGGCGTCGCCGAGGAGCCGCCACCTTGCCCCTGCCCCCCCCCAAGACCGGTGCCGCCGTTGAGCGCATCGAGCGAACTGCGCCACCACCGCATCCGCTGCCTGGGAGGCGACGACGATTCTCCGTTGTTGCGTGCGCTTGCTCCGGCGGATTCTGTACCGGTGGCGGCGGCGGCGGCGGCGGTGCGACCGCGGCCGCCTGCGGCCGTCCCAGAAGAAGCAGCCCCGTCAGGGTAGCTCTGCAACGCGATTGGAGACGTGCAGACGAAGGTTGAGGGACAGGTGGGTACGTTTTGTGTCATCGCTAAAGCAAGTAGTACTTAGAGAAAGTCGTTCAGGGAACAGGGACCCACCTTTGCATGAAAAAATTAAGTCGCGCAAATGCAACAGCCGAGCGCGAACGAGAAAAAACATACTAATGTACCTTGCGCTTGTACATGGCTATAGATTCCGCGCAAAGCACCTCTTGCCGCAAAACGAAAATTGATTTGCGTTATACAGTGGTATCCTACACTTCGGCAGTCCTCACTGCAACACTCGGTCCGCTCTGGCCGAGTTCCCCTCCTTTCTCATAGACCAAAGATGCCACGGCCCCAAAAATCAAACAACCTGAGGGGAAAACAAAAAACAGGCAGAATCGACTACCTACTTAGAGTCCGAATATTTGAACTTTCTGACCTGCCCGGTTGGGAGCAGGAGATAGACAAGCTTGGACACCCCTCCGTACTGGTCGAACGCCTCAAGAGCCGGCGGGAAACGCATCGCCGCCTCCCAGAACTGCACCCGACACCGCGGGCCGAACACGCAACACGTAAAACATCGGTAAACAAGGTTAAATGAGGATGGCAGCGGCGGCGGCGGCGGCGGCGGCATCCCGCTAAAAAATCTCTCCCGTGATTCACCTGAGGATAGGACAGTGTGGCCCTCAACGTCCGCCCCTCCCGCGCTTCAGAATCGGGTTCGTCGCCGCGGTGAGCACTGAATAATAACGTACTTTTTTACGGTGGGCGAAATGAAATCGCTTGAAGAAAGTTCGAGTGGGTGGATGAAGGCTGCGTAACAGCAGTAGTCCGTGCGGTGCGGCGCACCTCAAGTACGGGTATGGGGACAAATGAAACGAAGCGATTGAGCACCTCTTACTCTTTCCCTTGTTCTGCCTCCCTCCCTCTCTCTGTCTCTGTCTCTGTCTCTCTCTGTCTCTCTCTCTCTCTCTATCTGTTCTCTCTCCCCCCCCCCTCCCCCTCTCTCTCACCAACAAGGCGTTTCTCTGCGTTGACTCGCTTGGGGAACGCAGCAGCGTTGCCGCGTACGCAAGCAAGCGCTCCAGGGTATCATCCTGAACACATGGGATCGGACGATGACGTGCATAGGATTGTATGAGGGCTGTGAAACACGTTGAAGGAACGAGAACCAATAAGAAAATGACATCAGGGAAAGCGGAAGCGGGACAGCGAAACTGATTTCAATATATTCTACGTCGAGAGCACAGGCAACAAGAACACGGTGGGATGAGCGATGACGGACTGTGGGGCAATGGAAGGGCATGGGTCACGTTCTTTGTGGGGGACACCGTAGAACGCAGTCGCCCCATTACCGTGGATATGTACCATCTGCCGGCCCCCCATCAAAAACGCGGGGGGGGTTGTGTCAGGAAGAAGGCGTTACTGAACACGTTCCCGCTCATGGGGAGGTTGGTGGAAGCATTTGCAACCCTTGGCAAAGTAGGAAGGAACGATTGGCCATCAGTGATCGGTGTTGTGGGAACAACAGCGATCCGTCCTCTCGCGGTCAATAATCTAACCGCAAAGGCATGCATCCCCCCCGCCACCCCCCCCACCCCCTGGATGTCACAGCACCGCAGAGAGACACACCGGCGTACCTGCGCTCTGCACACAGCCTCCATCACTCCGCCGCTGGAGGCCAGCACGTGGAGGCAGTAGCCCACCTCGGGCTCCAGGAAAGCAGTCCCATCTTCGAGAGCCCCCAGTCGAAGGAGAGTCCGGACCCACCCCCGTCTGACAAACGCCAATCCCACCTGGAAAACCCGCGTGACGACCGTCCGTAGCGTGGGACGGGCCGTGCTAACGACGTTGTTTTCGGCGTAACGTAATCATCTCTCTCTTTCTATTTGTCTTTCCGTCTCTCTCTCTCTACCTATCAATCCACTGTCTATCTGCCCATCAATCCTCCATCTTCCTCTCTTGCTGAGAAAAAATGTCGAGCACAGGAACCACACACCCCGAAACGGTGTGTGCCTTACCCCATCCAACGCAACGTTTAAGCACCTTCTTGTGTACGAGCAGCGTGGACAGCAGCTCCACGGCGTGCCCCCTGATCTCCAGCTGCGGGTTCGCCAGCAGGACGTCCACCACGGCTAAGCCGTCCCCGCTAAACAACGGGGTCAAGATCTTCACTCCCCGGCCACAACACGACGGCACGGTAACGAACGGATTTGAAAAAGAGTAACCGCAACAGAGGGGGGTGGAAACCAAACAACCGGGTCAACAAAAAACAGCCAAACGGTGAGACCCCAGGTCAACCAAAACCGGCCAAGGCATCCTAGAGTATGCGGTCAAGCCAATGGGAGACACGTGACTGCTACAGCCGCTGCCATGTAGAACAGCGCCTCCTTTTCGTGCCTTGTATACACCCCCTGGGCAAGATGCGATGGGCAAACACCAAGGTGTGTGATGTCACTAGGCTCGCGGTTCACCGGTGGCGGCACATCCGTCCACCGCCGACCCGTAGTATACAAGCCGCACTAAGGTTGCACGACTATCTAATGGGACATGGCAGGAAGAGGAGGGGGCCATGATCCGTACGCACCTTGACAAGAAAAGTTCTTGAAACGGGCACATACGAGCGTAGTCCACCCTCAACAACGCCACCATTCGACGGGAAGGACAAGAGCGTGCCGACTGTAATGCTCTTTCTCCCGTCCCATGAGAGGGGGACAAACAACAACGAAGAGAGAGAAAAAAACACACATAAAAAACAAAAAACAAAAAAGGATCACCTCCTGGTACCCGCCGATGCCGCTGATGCACGCGGCCACGTGCTCCGCCTCCACCGCCGCGACGTTAGCCCAACGTCCGTACGTCGGTGCCGGCTGTTGTGCGGCCGATGCCACCGCTGCCCCGACAGCAGCAGCAGCAGCAGCAGCAGCAGCAGCAGCAGCATCAGCAGCGCCGTCGCCGCCGCCGGCAGCGGCGGCAGAACCAGCCGCGGTGCCGACGGCCACCGACGGGTCCCCGCTATTCCCAGCCGCAGACCCTCCCCCGTCCCGCGCCAGGCCGTCGCCTGACGACGCCTTCCGGTGGTGCTCCTTGGCGGCCTCGGCCCGCAGGTGGTCCGCCACCGGTCCCTCCCTCAGCCTCTGGACCAGGTGGGCCGCGAAGCCCTTGTTGACGATGAGGTCGGACAGCTCCCTGGAGAGGAGCCCGGCCGCGAGGAGCCCCGTCGCGTGGGCCCTCAGCTCCGCCTCCGCTGACGCACGGTCGGCCAGGACCTCTGCCGCCGTCGGCGGCATTGTTGCCGCCGCTGCTACCGTCGCTTCTGGGGACTCTGCTGGCGCTGTCGTTCCGGGCGCAACATCACTCCCGGCACCCGCCCCCTCTGCCTCGGAAACCTCGGTGCCCCCCCCAGACGAGGCACTCCCTCCTCCTGCGGCTCCCCCAGCCGCTTGTTCCGCCGCCGCCGTCCTCGGCACCTTCGCTTTGCCCTTCCCCTTGTCCCCGCCGCCGCTCTTGCTGCCCTCTTCCGGGTTGGCAGCCCTCATATTCGAGCGGACCAGTTCCCGCCCCTTCTCCATCGCCGCTTGCGCAGCGGCCGCGTCGAAGCTACCACCGCCGCCGGAGGCAGGCGGTGCCCCTCCCCGTGCCCACGACAGCACTTGCTCGTAGATCTCGATCTCCTCGCTGAGAAGGGAGGGGATCGGGGGCGGGGGGGCGGTACGGGAGCCCTGGTCCACCGTGGCCATCGATACGGCACACAGGAACCTAAGGAGGAGGAGGAGGGGGGGGGTTCCGTATGATCGATTCGTCAAACACACACACACATCACATGGGTGATGACACTAGGGCGCCCTCCGGAATGGGCGGCCTCATGAGAGCTCAGAATGTACCCGAAAACATAGGTAAATTGTCCTTGTGACTTAAAACGGGCTCATGGCAGCACAGAAGTGTCATCCAAGGGGTAATGGAAGGTGAGAGAGAAAGATCGAAAGAGTGACCGCCAGCCGTGACGCTTTCCAAGCTCGAACAACCTACACCGCCGACGTGTGTAGACCCGAAGAGCCCAGCGAACCACCTCACCGAACGACACTCTACTAAGAGAAGCTTCATGGGAGAATAGCCCACACAGCTGACGCGTGCAGACCCGAAGAGCCCAGCGAGCCACACCGCACCACAAAGAACACAAATCCGCAAACATCAGTCGATCCGTAAAAAGGCAGTGGGGTAGACTTGGCCCGGCGGGCCCCACGGACCCGCACCGTTGGAAACACAAGTCATCCAATTCATGGGTTTCGATTGACTTAGCCAGTTGCTCTGGCTGGTGTGGACGGGGGGGGTACTCTGACGCGACAACAACAAGCCGTAGGCACTCTGGACAAGGAAGAACCAAAATAGACAGACGTTTCCCGCGAAGTTCTGTCGGCGTCACTACTGCTGCCGCTTGGCACCTCGTTTCCCCTCTCCCACCATTCGCAAGAGGAGAAACAAAACGCCTGCCAACCCAAGCAAAGTAAAACACCAACCGCACCTGCACACCGCGGCCAGCACGATAGCCCCGCCGCCCACCCCTCCCCCGCTCCTCAACAGGCCGAAGAGGACGCTGGTGACGAAGCGGGTGGGCTGGCTGTATCGGTCGTCGTCGACCGTGCCCATCGTTGCCAGGCGAATGGCCTGCCCGATCGGGTACATGTATCTGCGGTTCTCGAAGACGTTGACGCCCGGCTGCCGGCAGTACGACGCCTGAGGCGCAATGAGGGGGGAGACGCGCTTGTTGAGAAATATTGTACATGTGTCGAGGTAGCTGTGGCAGTGACGCAAGTCTCGGTTTACTTCAGGTGGTTGCTGCTTAGGTACATGATGCTGTGCATCAACAACACCCCTTTCGCGCTTCATCTCACACCCACAGCAGCCCACGGAACTGATTCGCAAGCACAAGCTTTTCAAAGTTGCTGCTGCTCCAAGGAATACCCGATTGCTTACATGAAACTATGCAACAACGGTACCTCCTTGTCCCTTCATCTCATACCCACAGAAGCGTACAGAACTGATTCGCAAGCACACGCTTTTTCGCGACCGCGACTACTGACTGCTGTGTTCCCACCCCCGATTGCTTACATGAAACTATGCAACAACGGTACCCCCTTGTCCCTTCATCTCATACCCACAGAAGCGTACAGAACTGATTCGCAAGCACACGCTTTTTCGCGACCGCGACTACTGACTGCTGTGTTCCCACCCCCCACGTCTTCACGGGTGGAGCGGGCGAGCACGGGCCAACGTAAAGGGGAGGTACCTACCAGCAAACGCATGCATTTTCATTCTGGCACATGCAGTCATTCTGAATAATGTCGAGAAACAGCGTTCCCACGCCCTTCACGCATGTAGTCCTTGCAAGCATGTCGAGAGAATCTTGAGGACCTGCCTTCACACATCCCCACGCCATCCTCCGGTTCGTCTCATTACAGCAGTAGCGGTGCGCCCGGTGTAGCGACCACCTGTTGAGCGGCATGCCCTGTACAGCGACCATCAAGTCTCGTGGCCCCACTGCACCCCTACCTACAGTCGCTACGTGCCTATAGCGACGTGCCCTGAATAGCGACCAGATTCATTTCCGGACACTACAAGTATAGGGGCCGCTAAACCGGGCCCACCTCTGCTGTATCCGTGAGCAACCTTGTTCAGAGAATGTACAGACCATCAAAGAGAGACTACTCTTTCGAAATAATATCACATCAGTCGCACGGGATACGTTGCAGCGAAATCCATCAACTAATTAGGCACACACCTCCAATCGCTCCGCGATGTCCGCGAGCCTGTGCAGCACGGGCACGAGCCAGAAGTGCTTGGGCTCCGGTATGGAGTTGCCCTGCGCCCCTTCCCCCGCCGTAGGAGTAGACGCGCTCTTGACCGCCTCTGCCAACAGGCTTGCGAACTCCTTGGCGAGCGCCTGGAGTCTCACGCGCTCCGCCTTTGTACACAAACCAAAACATGGTTCGGTGGCGCCGTTGTTGCCGGTGGATAACGTGTTCGTCCATTGCTGGATTAAGGCTAGTTCATTAGACTGTACTCAGCCAGCGCTATCTGGCGGCGGGACTTGACAACATGGCTGACGGGTATTAGCACAGTTGGCGGTCAAGCAAGACAACTATTGTTCCGGGTAAGTAAGTGGCGGAGAGTCCCTGATTGCCCCGCTGACAAGTCGGCAACGGCACTATCGCAGTGACGCGGAAATCCTCGATTTTGTTAGATACACTACGACAAGAAAAGCGATGGATGTGAAAGTCCTTAGAGTCGCTGGGCAACCCCACACCCCAAGCTAGCGAATATCTCGACGCAGTCAAGGGATGGGCGAACACACAAGCGCGACGTGGACGACTGCGTACAACCTGCCTGTATGTAGTCGCATGAGGCACCTGCAGCGAGAAGTCGGCGTCTGGCGAGCAACACAGTCAACTTGGGGGGAATACGGCTGCAACGTTCAAAATTGACCATCTCCAATCCCACCCGTCTTGCTTCTGCATTCTCCACTACAAATACACTCGTCGACAGGAAGCTGCTGCTACAAGCTCTCTCCAGCAACAAGCCCGTTCGGCAAACCGTTGGAGTTGAACTGCGACGGGCTGGGGAAGTGTGCGCAGTGGGCCCAAAGTGCTGCATCACCAAAGTGTGAAAGGATGGCAATGATCAAAATGGTGGCGTACATAACGTTGTATTGCGATGCATCGCTAGGTATTCCTGATTGTGCGCCGGGGTACAGTAGTGCTGCTGCGGCTGCTAATATTGGTGCAGGCACTCGCAGCCAGGAACGGCTCGCGGTTGGGTCCCCAAATTATAGTGGAGTGACTCGAGTACACAGGTACGGGAAGATGAGAGAGGCTCTCACCGATATAGGTCCTCGGAAAACATTTCCGCCGCCGCCGCTCCCACTCCACACAGCCCGTCTTCCCTCCATGGTGTGTCAGCCTTGCAGTTGCTCCACGCGGCCCTCACACGCCGCTCTCTGCTCCCCAAAGGTGGGGTTGCACACGCTCCCGCGGAGGCAGCCGCGATTGCAGCAGCGAGAAGCAGCCGCGATTGAGCACCCCCCCTCAAGAAATCATCGCGCGACTCCCCCCCCCAGCACTGTCATAATGACACACACACCGCAGCGGCGGCAGACACAGGGATAGCAGATAGAGGGCAACAGACTCGGCATAGACACCGGCTGGGCTCGAAGGTAGTCGCTGCTCGTAAGTTTTGGGTTGCAAAGGTGGAAGAACGACTACACAGCTAAACTAAAGCGAAAATCTTGAGCGGAGGTGCGGCGGAATAAGGCCTGTCGGGTGTGCCCGAGCGGGCGGCCAAGGACAGCCGGGACCACCTTTGGCAAGGTAAGACAGGGGGGATGCACCCAAAACTGATGCTTGTTAGTGACGCAACTCTGGCGTAGCCCTGTATGCCCACGAAAGGTTTTGTAAGGTGCACCCCAGGTGTTGCTACCCGCCTGCCTGCCCATGGGGCGTTGATGCTTTCGCGGCAATCCTCTTCTACACTCAACGACCATGACACCGGACCTTGTGTGCTGCATCTCCCTTAGCCCCGAACACTATAACGACCGCTCGCACTGCTATGTAGACATCTCTGTCGACACCCAAATACGCACGAGTGGGTGGTGGAGTCGCCACTCCGATTGGACGATGCGCTCTCTTTCATCTTGCCTTGGAATGGCTTTTGGGCACAAAAAACAGCTCTCAGAGACCAACGGCCCACCCAGCTTCCCTGTTGCCGTCCTCCGGGGAATGTACATATTGTATGTAGAGCGGGCACAGGATAGCACGTTAGAGCGGCGAGGTTGCACGCTTGCGCAGATGAAGAGGATATTCTGGTGGAAAGGATCAAAGACACAGCAGCAGCTATATCTCCGTGTGTTGGCGTAGAAACAAGCCATAGAACGACCAACACAATGGATCGCGCTCCTGCGTGTGTGTGTCGTCCCAAAGACCTGAAACATCATACAACAAAAGGGAAATGTTGAGCAGCCCCAAGAGAGGCGAAACCACAAATAAGTTTGCACGGAACGTAATTTGTAGGTCCGACCGAAGGCTTCGTCTCAGGTGGTCGTCTAAGCTGTTCTCCTGTTTCGTGGATACAGCGTCTGCTACGATGCCTGTTCCTTTTCTCAGCAGACATGGATTGCGAGATTGACTCTCGCCGAAAGGAAATTAATTTGCGTTTCGTTGACGGAACTCCCATCGTAGAGCTGCATCCCGTAGTGCCTGCCCTCCACTTTGCTGAACATCCCTTGGTTTGCAGTCCCGTGTGAAGCACTCAATTGGGCAACTACTACTATTACTACAACACCCCCCTTGCAGCTTACACTCCCGCTGTAGACTACACCCACACCCACGCCACGCGACTTCCCCCTACCACGCATGTGCCCCTTCCCGCTTGTTGTCTGCGTAGAGATGTCGGTGATGATTGAGACCTCGCTCGGGGAGGTGGTGGTGGATCTGTTCTGCGAAGACGCCCCGCTCGCAGCAAAGAACTTCCTCAAGCTCTGCAAGATCAAGTGAGCGTCGAAGACGGTGGGGTAGCGATCGACTGCCGTACTTGTAGCAGCACTTTCAAAACTACTGGTACCATGGTAATCTTGTAGCAAGGATGGATGCAAAGCGCAGTGGCACGGGACAGACCGTGGTGTGTGCTGCCCTGCGAGGCTTTATTATGGAAGCGAGCAAGGCGAGTCATATCTCTTGGGCAGTCTGCTCGTAATTGTGAGTAGGTGGTTTTGGGCGCAGCGGGAGGGTTATTTATGCGGCAGTGGTCTGTCGTGGTGCGCACACAATCGGCCAGCGCGGAGTACAACAAGCGGGGTAGTGGTGCCAGACCTGCGGAAAACGTGGTACCCACATGTTAATGGTCGAAATTCACCTTTACGGCCCGCATCGACCATTGTTGAAAACTGAATGATAACCTCCCTTGTGGTAATTCATCCGAAAGCACATGGCTTCCTCTGCCTGTCTCGCCAGTAGTCCGAATTAAAGGAACTGGTTGCCTTTTTCCTGTGGTAGAGTAGCACGGTTCATAGTGTGCAGCGGTTCTCGCCTTTCGAAGCAACATGTTCTTGTTTCCGGTGCCATCAAAGGTGAGGTGAGACCTCACAGATGAAGGTGGTTCGTTGCCCACATAGACTTGACAAGAACTACTTCTGGTAGAGGTGTAGACTAGACCTCGTTAGGCGTGGAGAAGACAAAATGATGCGATAATCGATAAAAACTTGAAACTCTCACTTTTTTCAGCACTTGACTCTACGCTCTCTTGCACGGCATCTTTGAACGAAATATATCTTGTTCGATTGTTCTTTGAGCTTGGAAAAAGCGGCTTTCTGAGTCCCAGAATCGCATCCCATACCCGAGAAAGCTCGTATGCAGCTGGCTCGCTGTTTATTAACGTGTCACGGCGCAACGCACCACCCGTTTACGTCGTGGTCACCCTGCCACTGTTTTTAGAGAGTTCTTGCACAACCATGCATTGTAGTGCAATTTTGCACGGGGCACACATGTCAAGCCCCCCCCCCCCCCCCCCGTTCTTTTCGACTTTTAAAGGTACTACAATGGCTGCCTTTTCTACAACGTACAGCAAAACTTCATGATACAGGCGGGGGATCCCACCGCTACGGGCAAAGGTGGCACGTCGGTGTACGGCCTCATGTACGGCGAGCAAGCCCGGTGAGTGCGAAGGGATTGGGAGTGCGCTCGTTTTGGTCTCGTGCATGATGAGTTCGCCAACAGGCGTATATACTCTTGACGTACGTTTGTATATTCTCGTATGCATACCTGTTCGTTTTCGGCGATAAGTTGTGTCGTGTACCACCACCACGAAGGGAAAAACCGTCGCTCCAAAATCAAGCGGTGTGGAATTGTGTACAGGCTGACTGACATGACCAATGTTTTTGAGTGGTGCTGTCCTTTGGCTGGACGAGTTTGGACCACGTCCTCTTCTTTGAGGCGGTAGCTCTTTTGGATATAGAGGACACCCTTCCCCGTGGGCTTCGTCGCTCTCTACAAGTATGCTTGTGGGTGTTTTCCCGCATCGTGTGCGTCGAATGCGGCTGCTGTTTTCGCTGATCTGGTGGGGGTATTTTGGCGAACGATCCGCGATCGACCGGCTTGTGACCATGGTGGAGAGTGTTGAGGCGAGCGCAATGAAAATCATCACCAACAACTGTGACAACAATACCCCAGACAGGCGTTCGGAGCATGTCGCGGTGTCATCCGCAAAAAATTACGAACCGTCACAAAATTTCGCCGTCTTATGTCGATCTCTGACGTATTTTGCCTCGCGCCAAAGATTTTTCGAGGACGAAATCAGCGCTACGAGCCGCAAGCACGACGAGGCCGGCCTGTTGTCGATGGCCAACATGGGGGTGCCCAACTCGAACGGCTCTCAGTTTTTTTTCTCCATGCGCGGCGATGACATGCAACACCTCGACGGCAAGCACACCGTGTTCGCCAAGGTATGGCGTTGCACACGGCGGCAGAATAAGCAGCATCAGCAGCAGCGGATGTGTGTGTCTGAAATTCGCGTCAAGCTGACTTTTTCCTCCTTGTCTAACGGTCGCATGATGTTATTTTTTGTGGTGGATGCCGCACGTTCCTTCATCGAGCATGCTGGCTTCCAGCGTGTGTCTGGACCCGGCTCGTTGCGACGACCCTATAGATGGAGGGGCCAAAACACCCTTCAGTGAGCGTTTCCGAGTTTTGCAATGGTCATCGGTGACTCGCGTTTTTCTTCTTCCCTGCGATGCGAACAAGTAGATGGAAGACCGACACGCCCTTTTGTGAGCACTTCCGTGTGTTGCAATGGTCTCTCTCTTGTGACTAGCGTTTTTGCCTTTCTTCCCCTCGATGCGTAGATGGAGGGCCGAAACACGTCCTTCTGTGAGCACTTCCGCGTGTTGCAATGGTCTGTCGTGGCTCGCTTTTTTTCCTTTCTTCCCCGCGATGATGCGTAGATGGAGGGCCAAAACGCACCCTGCTGTGAACATTTCCGTGTGATGCAATTGTCTTTTGTGATGACTCGCTCATATTGTTCTTACCCCTAGGTGATGGAGGGGATGGAAACCCTGGAGGAGATAAACGGGCAGTTCTGCGACGACAACGGGAGGCCGTACCGCGACATTCGCATCCTGCACACATACGTCCTGGACGACCCGTTCGACGACCCGCCTCAGGTACGATCGACACTTCCCCAAGGGAGGGAGGTTAACCTGTATAGCGATGATAAATCGGCCCTTCCGAAGGGGGGTCAACCTGCGTGGTGATGGTAAATCGACCCTTCCGAAGGGATGTTAACTGCGTTGTTGTTGTCTTCACATGAAAATTACATCAATGATGATCGACCCTTCCGGAGGTAGGTTAACCTGTGTAGTGATGGTAAATCGGCCCTTCAAGAAGGGAGGGTAACCTGCCATAGTGATGATATATCGACCCTTGTGAAGGGTGGTTGCCAGTATTGTGGTGATAAATCATCCCTTCCGAAGGGAGGGTAACCTGCTTTAGTGATGATAAGTCGATCCCTGTGAAGCGTGATTGCCAGGATTGTGGTGATAGATCATCCCTTGCGAAGGGAGGGCAATGATTGATAAATCGACCCTTGTGAAGGGTGGCTGCCAGCATTGTGGTGATAAATCGTCCCTTTCGAAGGGAGGGTTACCTGCCATAGTGGTGATATATCGACCCTTGTGAAGGGTGGTTGCCAGCATTGTGGTGATAAATCGTCCCTTTCGAAGGGAGGGTTACCTGCCATAGTGGTGATATATCGACCCCTGTGAAGGGTGGTTGCCAGCATGGTGATGACAAATAGTCCCTTGCGAAGGGAGGTTGCCTGCAGCCGTCATAACGGGTTTTTTGTTGCTGGTGATGACGATGGCTATTAACATGGATGGCGAGAGGGTGATGATCAGCATGGCAACGTTGACGAGCGACGGTGATACATTAGATGATTACTCGATATTGTTGATGTCGACCCCCTTTCCGATAGCAAAGCGGTCGAATAAACGAGACCAACTGCTGTCTCACACCGATTTGCACTGGTGAAGAGGTGGCAAACCTGATGGTTTTCTTGCGCCCGCGACCCGCTTCAAACAAATAGTAGATGGCTGGGTAGACGCCCCTGTGACTCTTGCTGGTGGTTGCCTGCAGGGTGTTCTAGCCTTTAGACAGATGACGAAGACGATACCCCTATCTCCCACAGCATGCACGATATCATCCTTGTCAGCGGTCGACGCTGCGAACTAGCTGCTGTCAGGCGCTCCTTGAACTTGGGCGTTAACGATTGGTCGCTTCGTTTTTCGACTGGTTCCGGTCCAAGACTTCCTGCCGTTCTGCTTCGGCCAAACCGGTCAATTGAAGATTCCGCTTGCATGTTCCTACGCATGCCTCAATGGCCTGTCTCTCCGTTCGCCCGGTGGTGCCGGTTTGACGTTTTTTCGTTTTTGGTGAAAACAGCTTGTGGTTCCCGATGAGTCCCCTTTGCGCGACCGACCTGAGGAGGAAAAAGTGGCGCTGCGCCTGGGAGCGCTGGACAAGGTGTCCTTGGAGGCCGACGAGAGGACGGAGCTCGAGAGGGAGAAGCAGGCACGACGGCGTGAAATTTGTCTGGTTGTTGCTTTGTTGTCGTTGCTGTTGATGACGTTGTTGTTGTTGTTGGTGTTGGTGTTGTTACTACTCGCGGTCGCCTTGTTTTGGTGGCGTTAGTTGTGGCGGTTGTGTGGATGTTGTCGTCGCTGTTGCTGATATTGTTGCTATATGTGGTTGCCTTGTTTTGGTGACGTTAGTAGTGGCGATTGTGGATGTTGTTCTAAGCTGTGGCGATCAATCAAACCACGAGCAAACGAGCTAGACAGATAGTGGAAAAGTAGCGCCGCAAGATGATACGTCGCCGGGGCGGGGTGTATTGTAAGGCAAGGCTGTAACTCAACAAACGAAATGGCATGTAGATAGCCAACGAGACAGAAGCACAAACGGATGGTCTCGCGAGCTACGGTGACGCGCGTATGGCTTCAATTTTGCATCCTAATTCGGTAGTCGACCTCGACCTTTCAGTTGCATCTTTGATGATGACGCGGCTCCGGTACACTTCCAATTTGGTCATGGCGTTTAATTTGTTCACGCAGATACGCCTCCTTTTGCATTATCAATGCCGCGGTTTATCCGAGCGATCGAACGTAGCGCGCCGGCCTCCCGCGTTCGCAAAACTAACGTCGATCGTCATAACCTTTAATTTCTTTCGTCGGTTGTTCGCGCGCGGCGTGACCATGAATGGCTGCTTCAGCTGAGAGAAAAGACGGCGAGGTCTAACGCTGTGGTCCTGGAGATGATCGGAGATCTCCCCGATGCGGACATGAAGCCGCCGGAGAACGTTCTGTTCGTGTGCAAGCTCAACCCGGTCACCACTGACGACGACTTGGAGATTATCTTCACCAGGTACGGAATACATCCGATGTCGGCCTGTTTTCTAAGCTTTACTATTTGGTTGTTCTGTATTCTGAGCGATGACTAACTAAGAAGCAAGCTGAGTTATTGCCTCCGTTTGGTATGCTGGGGGAACAAAAACACCACTTTTCAGTTATCATTTTACAGTATCCTGAGCAAGGACTAGTCATAGAAGCGCTATTGCCTCTGTGTAGTGTCATGGGAGAAAGAAGAAAACGTTTTTCAAGCGGAACTCTGTGGGCGTGTTGGCGCGCGGGCGCTCGGCGGAACAGGTTCGGGACCTGCCGGGCCGAGATCTGCCGGGATCACATCACTGGCGACAGCCTTAACTACGCATTCGTGGAGTTCGAGGCTATAGAGTCATGCGAGGAGGTGAGGCCCTGACTTAACGCTTTAAAATTGCATCTGAATAGACGCCGTGCAAAACCTAAGCTGGACGGGGTAGCGGGGACCAAAGATGGTGGTTGGTCAACAACGAATAATACGATGGGGCTTTCTTTGGCTGCCCGGAAAAGCGGGACTTAGGTATTGGGTGCAGCGGATTATTTTATGCTGAATCAAAGTGTACCCGAGTTGCACTGCACCCCTTTTTGCTCACCCCCATGATGAGCTGACCTCGTGCTGGGGTTGTCCCTGACTGGACCACATGTGGCAAACTTGGCCGTGCGGCACCCACACGCATCGCCCTCTGCCCTCAGCGAGGAAATAGCCATATTGCGTTGATTCTGTGAGCGTGTCAAATTTTCGCGCTGGATGGGTTGCTGTGGGGGTGGCTTCCCGGTATGTGCGATGTCAAAAGCCAACGGCCGGTTGTGTGCAGCGAGACAGTCCGGACAAAGGTTGTAGAGCAAGCCTGAGGATGAGGCTTGGACCACTACCACCGCCTGCTGATGCTTAGCTTCGTGTGTGTGGTGATTAATTTTACTGCTCCCGTGTAGTGCACATGGTCGATCGCTCTACCTGTTTGGTCGCCACGTCACCTCGCTGAAGCGATTGGGTGTTGCTGAACCTCGCTCGATTGGCATTTGGGTATGGCAAAATGCGTTAAAACGACGCCCTTTTTGGCCACAAACCCAATGAGGTCCATCTAATTTGGGTCCTCAATTAGGTGACAATTTCAACGTTAAAACAGGCCCTGAGGACGTGGCACAACAGGCACAGAACCGGTACAAAACCGTCAATAACGGTATGAAAATCCACGACAGCGGAGGTTGGTTGAATGGAACCCTACGAGACATGGCCAACGTGGATGGCGACAAAAGGCATGAACTAAGCGAAAGTGTCGCCACGCGTTTGTTTGTTAATCCGATTTGTATATCAGACCATCCCATGGTTGCAGTTACGGCACCAATAGCGATTGATTGGTCTTGCTTCGACCGAAGGACTCCGACACTGGAACGTGTATTGTATTACTCGGAATGGAGAGAGGAGCTTGACAAGAATGAAGGGAGTGCTTCATTTTTGAGAATAGAAGTTCGTTTGTTGACGTGGTACCACGTCGTGTTGTCGATGTAGGCTTGAAGCCGGCAGTTAGTCAGAAGCGATCGTCGTTCTTAGTATTGTTGCTTTTGCCCACACATGAAGAACCTTTCCGATATCTTCTCAGCATCTTCTTTTGTCCATTGTACACTGGGCAAGAGTGATGCAGCCACCTTCGTGGTCTCGGAGGAACTAACCCTAAAGTGTTCATTTTTTGAAGAATTTAAGAGCAACAAAAGGGCCCTAAAAAGACAAAAAGATTATCCGAAGCTGCGGTACTTGTTTCGACGATGCCCCTGTGCTCGCTCCCATTCCACCTCCCCCCACCCCCCTACCGCGATAATTGGGGATAGATGGTGGGCACAAGAGGCCCTAGAGGACGGGGATAAGATGTGCAAGAAATTTTATATAGTTTGTGGCCGAAACGTAAAGAGCTCCCAAATGTTGGTGGTGTCTCTAGTAGGGGTAGGAACGGTGCTCCGTCTCGAAAGGGACGCGTGGTCAATGGTCAAATGACTAAGGCAAGCAACAAATGAGTACGCCCCCCCCCCCCCACCCCCCTATCCCTAATGTGATCCTAACTCAGGCGTTCAAGAAGATGAACAACGTGCTCATCGACGATCGGCGCATCCGGGTAGACTTCAGCCAGTCTGTTGCCAAAGAGTGGTAAGTCAAACGTCGTATCCTCTTTTTTCCTTGTTTTGACGAAGGGCCGGTCGCAACGCTTGTATGGTTCGCGACCTGAGCAACGAAAGCGCAGCTGCGGATGAAGTAGCGCAAAGTACCATGCCCCCCAGCCTCACCCTGTACGTGGCCTTCGGTAAAAACGGCATATCCCCGAGCCTTTCCGTATTTTGTCCGTTGCACAGCTGTTGTAATGTCAACCTCATTTTTGGTCGTGGCTGTTGCACTTGCGACACGGGCAGCAAACTAATCATGCCCTCCTTGGCCCACCAATGCTATTGCTGCCTCCCAGGTCGAAGTACAAGGGCAGGGCCCAGGGGGGCCAGAAGCTGGCTAGCGGAAAGGGGGGCAAGCCAGCACAGCAGCCACAGCAGAACAACACCCAACGAGACGGCCACGCCTCGGGTGGCGGGCACGGCGCTGCGGGTCAACACCGCAAAAGCAAATGGGGGAACGCCCCCGTTAGCGGGGGGGTGGCACATGTGGTCGGGAAACCGCCCTCGGAGAACAGGCGGGGAGGAGATGCCACCTCGCACCGTCAGGACGGAGGGCGAAACCGCGAAGGGCAATCGGCCGCCTCTGGGCGGGGCAATAACGAGACGGTCGGGGGTGGCGGACACGGTCGTCGACGGGAAGAGGACCGCCGGGGTGGCAGAGGAGACAGGCGCGACGGCCGCAGCGACGGAAGACGCGGAGATGGCCGAAGGAAGGATGACGGGGGCGACAGGAGGCACGGCGGTGACGACGGCGGGGGGCGGCGCTCTCGCGACGATGAGAGCGAGCGCAGAGAGAGGAGGGACGAAGCCTCGAGGGGAGGGGACGGGAGACACGGTGGGAGTCGGCACAGCAGAGCCAGAGGTGGGGAGGATCGAAGGGCGGAAGACGAAGGTCGCAACGGCGGCGGCCACAGCAAGAACGACGATCGTGGTCACCGAGATGACAGCCACCGCGGCAGTAGAGAACGCGGCCACGGGGGGGGCGACGACCGCTCTAAACGACACGACCGTAGCAGGAGCAGGAGTCGCGAAAAGCATCGTCGGAGGGGTGGGAGTCGGGATAGGAGATCGAAGCGGTAGGATCAGCAGGAAGCGATACAACGGATGTGCCCGCAAGGTTCAGTATAGCTGTGGACGCTATAGGTACTGCAGGAGTGCTGCCACATACTTCAGGCACGAGCTCTGAACATTAACAAGATTACGGAAGGTATCAAGCATTGGGCAATTGGCGTGAACTGACTTGAAGGAGGCAATACCCGTCGCGCATTTTGAGTTTTTAGGCTTGGGCCGCTGAACGAAGGAGATCCCTCGACAGGGGGCCGGCCGTTGTGGACCCGTCGACTCACGAACCGGATTTAGGGTTGACTACGGCGGTAGTGTACTGGGGTTGCTGCCGCTACACACGACTCGCTGCCGGTTGTCCGGATAAACCACGACCGCTTGTCGAAACTGACGGCTTCGAAAGCACTGCGTTGCTCCAAGCATGTCAGGGACTGCGTTGCTCATGCGAACACCATACCACCGCAAAATACCGCTCGAAATATCCCACCCAGCATAGCTTGACCAGCATGTGCTGCGCGCTTCTTGCGGCCCTCCTGTGTACCCCGAAAGTATTCAACGGCGTTCGGACCCACACTCCCCCAGAGGGACTGTTGCGCCTCAAGTAGTGCTGGATGAAAACACGTGCGATGTACCGCCTTGTAGGTGCTCTGCCGCCCGCACAAGGCGCAGCCCTCTCTCGGGTTGCCAATCCCCCTTCCTACGCTAGAAACGTCTTCACCGGTTTGTGGTGGTTGGAAGGCACACCACATACATCGTCGGTAGAAGCCACAAGTCAGCCACATAGATCTTCTGTCTTTGGAAGAGCACACAAGATTGCTACGTGTGTCCGACACCGGAACGTCCTGAGCGTTGATGAGTTCGGTCTTTCGTTGTCGACCACTGCTGTCGAAGCCTACTTTCCTAACAAGACGAGGCAGGTGTCGCGCGTTCTGTCTCTTCACGGCCAGCTTGCTCCAAAAACCCCCTGTTGTTCTGCTCATGAAATTGGAATTGATTGTGAGTCGCAGACTCCCACGACTTCATCATATGCAAACCACCCCAGCGTGCACTGCACTATAATATCCCGGGTCCCTCGCGTTACTCGCCCCAATTAGAACCTAGGCAGGCTACCGTCCCTTCACTTGCTACCCTACCTTCCTGCACCATATCAAGCACGTCTCCTGTGTATCCGTGTGTACGTTTCGCGTCGTACCCTGAATCCCTCACCCCACACCTTGGACCCCCACTTTGTTTTGTTTTCAATACTTCAAGTCAGCGCCCACACACACACGCACGCACACAGCATTCCCATCCGTGGTCACACACAAGGGTTCCTTCCCCTGCCGCCCACAAAACATAACCACTTCCTCCCCCACCCCACCCCTCGAGAAAAACGACAAGCTGAACCCACCAAAAAACATTCATATACATCCCGAAAAGGAACAAAACGCGTGCGTCGTCCTGTCCAAAGAGGTGAAGGGACTTGGCACCGACGATCCCATCACAACTCTCCCTTGGGGCACAAACAAACTCATGGTCTCACGATCCTCTATCGAGTCCCCCCGTGTCAAGTATCGTGATTTAAGCGTCAGTCAACCCAGTACTTGTTCCAAAACCTGCATACGTCAACACCAGGCACTTCCGGCAGCGGCTCCTCTGGCCGTCGCTGGACCTCTATCTGTCGCAGCGATGCCGGAAAGGTGACTCCCTCCTCCGGCCATTGGAGGGCACTCTTGAACTCCAGTCGCTGTAGCGATGAGGGCCAGTTGACTTCGTGAATCGCCTGCTTGAAGTCTCTGCCAAACGTCACCTACCACGCCATTTGTGAAAATGAGAGCGAAGGCATGGAATTAAGGGTGGCGCTCTTGTCAGACGAATATTTGTCCAAAAAGCAAACCGAAAACCAAGCATCTTGACAAAGGTCACCGATTTGGACAGTCTGAAGTGTTACGCCGCCAGATTTTGGAAGTTCATGTTTTTGTTCCGACAACCTCTCGATATGGTATATCAAGAGGGAGGACAAATAGACGCCAAAGTTCAACTAAATCTGCCAACGGGAACAGCAAGCTGCTTCCCAGCTGCTTGCCACACCCTCTAATACTCCAACATGCTCGAGATAGAGGACCAAACAAGGAGAAACACTCGTGTAGAATTAGTGATCGGCACTACGGCGATCGGAATTGGGGCGCAAAAGGTTGTCAAAGAGGACCCAAAATATTTCTGAACTCAAGGGTTTAGCAGATGAGGGAAATGGGCTGCAGGACAGCGCGAAGAGGACTCCAGAAACGACTACAATATTAGCCTCCCTCCAAAGGTACCCAAAACGATCGTGGCAATTCGAATCCTGGAAGCACACCTGGTACCATCAGAACTGTTACGCCGTTGTTTCTAATTCAGATCTCATTCGCCCTGGAGTCGAGAGGCTGAATAGCTTGCATCGGTGGGTTGTAAAAAGTTCTGGTGTCGCCCCTATACTAGAGACGGAGCACAAACAATCCAGGGTTCCTCGCGGCACAACCTTTTGGGTTATGATTCTACAGTTTATTCTTCGTCCGTCTAAAATACTACTTTTAGTAGTGGGAAATGGACAAAAAAGGGGGTGTGCCAACCGCTCCCTGGGACAAAAGTGGCACTCGATTTTTTTTTGCGGAGACCACTCGCGACATGGCCGAACCACTAAAAATTTCGTTCCCATGCCTGGAAAATACGAGCAGGGCCCATGCACAGCATGGACATGAATTATTAGGTAGTTCGGGCACGTCTTCACCCCACACGCCGCCGCGGTGTAGAAGGCCTCCACAGGTTTCCCGATGTTGCCCCGCAATTCCGGTGGGTATACCCAACGAAATATACTCTTGCCGGTTTTGTTGAATCAAAATAGCCCTCCACGTCGCCGCACAGGGGGACTTTTCGAAACAACAAAAAATGGACAAAATCGGCTAATCTGTTGTGCGTCGCGGAGGTGAGTGGGGTGAAGACGTTCCCGAAAGTCTGTAAAATCCTATGTTCATGCCGTGCATGGGCCCTGCCCCTGTTGTTCAGGCATCGGAACGAGAGTTCGAGTGGTTCGGCCCTGTCACGAGTAGTCTCCGAAAACACCCGCTGTTTGTCCGAGAAAGCCGTGGGTATGTACCCACTTTTTCATCCATTCCCCAAAAACAATCATGGCGTTTTTCCTATAGGGGAGCACCACCTGTGTGCCAGCATGGCTGCTGAGGGAGTCGTGAGCCACACTTCCCCCCGGGGCGGATGAACAAAACACGATATTGAGCGTGGCTTATATTTAGCAAGGTTGTTAAGTGCATCCCCCTCCACAGGCGGTGTTTGTTGTCGATCTCCATATCTGTGTGTGCAGGTTGCTTGCGCTTGGGTGCTCGTGATCACGTGTTATCACACCATGTGATTAACGGGGGGTCCGTGGATGACATTCGGCTCAATTTCATGGGGTGTGGTGTCGTGTGTCACCGTAAAATAAAATGACATTTTAAAAACAAAGCACACCGGTGGTACTGTGTAGTTTTCCAACAGGGTGAGGTACCTTATCGATGTGAAACGTCTTCTGCGACCTACGGTAGAACTTCGCTCTCGATTTCAAGACTAAATTCTTACCTGGAGCAGAGAGGCCGGCCACGAGACCAGATGAATGGGCTGGTTGAATCCAGTCCCGCGACCGTACTCATCCCCAAGTGCCAGTTGTTGTAGTGACGATGGCCACACGACCTGATCAATCGGCTGATTGAATCCGTCGCCGAAGCCCAGGCGTTGTAGCGACGCCGGCCAACTGACAAGGTGAATCGGCTGATTGAATTCTGCACCAAGAGTCAGGTCCTTCAATGACGCCGGCCACTCGACCTGATCGATGGGCTGGTTGAATTCTCCGAATGTGTCGAAGGCCAGTTTCAGCAGCGACGTAGGCCACGACACGCGGTGAATCGGCTGATTGAATTTTGCACCAAGATTCAGGTCTTGCAATGACGCCGGCCATGAGACGTTGTCGATTGGCCGGTCGAATTCTCCGCCAAAAATTGCGAAGGTCAAGCGTTGCAGAGACGCCGGCCATGCGACTCTCTCAATTGGCTGGTTGAACTCGCCCCCGAATGTCATTTCTTGGAGAGAGTCTGGCCACTCGATCGCCTTGAAAAAGTCTGGGTCACCGGTGAGTGCTTCGAGCAGGAACGGTGGGAACGAGATCCCTTCTATTTTGTGGTTGAACTTAAAGCCGAAAGTGATCCTCTCCAAAGACGGTGGCCATTGCACCAGGCCGACTTCGCAATCGAAGTGGCACCCAAAGGTTAGCTCCTTCAGGGATGGCGGCCAAGAAATGAAGTCAATCGGCGTGTTGAACTGGTAACCGAAGGTCAGTTGCTCAAGTGATGGTGGCCACTTCACCTCGTGTATCGATTGGTCGACGCAGTCGCTCAGAGTGAGCTGCTGAAGCGATTCCGGCCATGAGACGTCGTCGAGTGAGCGATTAACTTGCCACCCAAGGATCAGGCGTCGCAGACACGATGGCCATTTAACATTGTCGATACGCTGGTCAAACGCCGCGCAGACAGAATCACTCAAGATGAATTCCTGCAGTGATGCTGGCCACGCGACCTCGTCAATGGGCTGGTTGAACTGCTCGCCGAACGCCATCCGCTGCAAAGACACCGGCCACTTTACCTCGTGGATCGGCTGGTCGAACTGGTTCCCGAACACTACCTCTCGGAGTGCCACCGGCCACGGCAGGTTCGAAATCGGCTGGTTAAAGATCTGTCCGAAAGTGAGGCTCCTCATCCCATCGGGCCATACTGCTTCGTCCATGCTGTCGTGACAGCATCACCCAAGACGAAGATTTCGACGCTCGACAACCCAGCTCCAGTGCACCGGGGCGTCTGGCCCGGCAGCTCCCACGTTACCTTGCGCGCCCTTAAGGCAGGCACCCTTGCTGCCATGATTCTCTTGGAGCTGCCATGGCCCTTGTCCAGCACGGCAGCGGCATCATCATCGCCCGAAAAAAGACGGGTAGGCGTGCTGCGGTCTACCTTCAGGTGCATGGTGGGCACGCTCCGGCAAGCCACGCAGAAGGGCAACGACGAAAGCTGGAGCTGTTCCGTGGACACATACCATCCGCCTCCATCGCATGCCTGGTTGAGGGCGACGTTAAAGGCGACCAGGCAGCTGCTAGGACCTGCGATGGAAAAGACAGTTCTTGCAGAGTTAGCGGGGTTGAATGACTCGCGGCCTGGGCAGAAATATGGCGTACAAACAAGCGAGATCAAGGTGTGTACAGAGATAAGGCGGGGGCAGCGCCAACGTATTGGTTGAACGGCTCACGGCCTCAGCCGAAAAATGCTGTAGCAAGGGTGCTTTGATACAATCATGAGGGGGAGACCTGTGAAATCCCATTGGCGTGATAGGAGCACTATAGGGAAACTCAATACAGCGTTTGCTTTGGTGCCTGAAGCGCAGATAGTCTAGGGGGGAGGACAACCTAGTGACACAGGGTATACGATGGTTGGAACACTGCCTCCATCCGGATAGCCCCGGGTACCCGGCGAGCCTCAACCCTAGTATATTGCCCCCCTTGGAAGCCAGAGCGCTGCGGTGCGTGTCAAAATTTGATTGGGTCCCTTCTTTTTCTCAAGGTTGAGCACTAGAATCAGCCGATAGATGTCGGCAGAGGGTCCAAGGCCGCGCTAACACGGCCGGTGTCCCTATAGTGGGGGTCCGCACGAAATGGCGGGTTCTGCCTGCGTGGAGATATTTCACCCGCAGACCATCGGGTACCCGCACTGTATATCCGACGGGCCTCCCACAGACGTTGATGCAGCCCCGTATTGTTTGCGACGAAGGAATCCGATCATTTGCCAACCTCGCCGGCTGGACGAGCCAAGAGTGATACGAGGTGTACTAAATCTCGCTGGAGTGTCACCAGCATAGCAAACCGATAGAGCTGAGGGTGCGTTCTTTGAACCGCAGGAACGCGCTCAGCTTTTGGCGTTGGACTTGCTCTCGATGGCATCATGTTCTTCAGGTGGTGTACTTGACCCGCTGATTCCGCCGGTTCTAGAATATTGCTGTGGGGGGTTCATGTCAGTCGTGATCCTCGCGGTGGCGACGGAAACGGTATTTGTGCGGCCTGTCGCCAAGTACGATGCACGACATTCTTTCCCGTTAGACACATCAAAGTTGGTTCTGAGATAAGTATGAAGTATCTTCACACGATAAGGGTGACTTGAGCGTGTCGACTGGAGGCCCGCTTCTCGTTTCTCAACGAATTTGATTTTCGTTGCAGTACGGGTTCAACGCCTGGTTCGTCATGTAGCAGCATCAATCGTGGGGCTGCAGTCCCTGCATGGAGAGGGCCGTCCTCGGGTGACCCGGAACTCGGGAAAAAAAATCCGGGCCGGTACGCGTACCCGGGCACCCATGTATTGTGTGCTTGTTTACGATCGTGTTGGGGTGTAGTAGCGAGCTTCTTATTGTTGTGCTATTCAAACCGTTCTGATGTCCGTCTAACTTCAAATCCGGCGTACTCTACCGGTCTGCTGCTGCTGTGGCGGCGGCGTACTTATTAGTCCCACATACGACGTGGACGGAACGCAATTATTTTTCCATTCGGCTATTTACACGTTAGGGAGGTACAGATAGTGCGCTCGAACCTGTTGCAGTAACTTCCTTGGCAGTTAAGAACTTCACGCTCAACATTGTATCGAACATATTATGACCTTCAGTAAGTACCGTTTGTCGTTTGCGAGCCCGGTCAAAAACCTTACGTCAAACCTATATAGTGGCCATTTGTAACCCACAACAAAGAAGAGGATAACGAACCCGAGTCTCGCCCAAATTAGAGGTTCTTAAATGGAGGCGCTATCTATCTGTAGGTGGTGATGCAAGTAAGCAAATTTTATCGTTACAACAAGTCATTTCTTGCTGTGTTGTAGGGTTAGGGTTGAGGCCTGAGTCTCTCCTTGTCCCTCTGTGGTGGCGAATCGCCCTCGGCAGAGATAGGCACCCTCTGGGCTATTCATCATGATAATGTCCTGGTTTTTCTATGGTTTCCAACAAAACGAGTAGGGTACGTTCAGAGGTAGGGTATTAGGTACTGGGAGGAGACGACGAGGGACAGGTAAGACCGCCCGTGTGCAGAGCAGCAGAGCAGGACCCTCTTGGCTTGGCAGACCACATACATTTTGTAGGTGAACACACACCCCTCCCCCTCCCCCCCCTCCCCCCCGAAATAGCGGGTACGCGGGTACCCGGGTTACCCGCCTTCAAAATAGCGGGTATTAGGTGAGTCCCGAACCCGGTTCGGGCATCTGGAGAGCCGGGCATGAGCCGGGCAGGGTTGACGGATACCCGTCGAACCGGCCTCAACCTACCGCATGCTTTCCTGTGTTCTATCTTATTCACCGGGGTGGTAGTCGGCGACCGCAACAATGCCTTCTCGGAACGATCTTCCCGTGGATCACAGTACACAATATGTAAGCGGCGTACTCTATGCCATAAACAGACCCCCGAACGATTTGTACGCGCGCTACAAGCAGTTTCAGATGGGGTGTCGATTCTGAAATACCAGCAACCGGAAAAACGCTGGTGTTTGTCGCCATGGAGGGAGACTGATTCGTATTGTCTACACCTCTTCGATACACTGCGCATGGGGTGTTAGATACGGTGTACATGGGGTTTTGTATCGTCGCGGGACGGATGGGACCGACAAGGGGTGCCTCCTATGTATTGTTCCCGCCGCCTGGAGCATGCGTAGCATCTTCAGGGGTTCTTGAAAATTGCGGTTTTCAGTTCTAGTCTTGATCCCAAGACAAAAAACGACCTTCCGGCTTGCGGAATTCCAACTTCAAAATCTATTTCAGTACAGTAACGGCTAGGGTTTAAAGAGAGGGGCGTGACAAGCCCCTATTTTTGTCTTACATCGATCTTTCTCTAATACCGTGTTAGCTACGGTTTGAGAGAATACTCTGTTGTACCGTGTTGGCTACGGTTTAAGAGAATATTCTCTTGAACCGTGAACACGGTTTAAGATAAGTTTCTCTTAACCCGTAGCATTTTGAAGGCCATGCAAGATGGACGCTCTCGTTTCAACCAGCTAAAATAGTTTGTGGAGGGGTTATACACTTGCTCAATAATCTGTTTCTTGGCGAGCACTGTACCCACCGCAAGTACCGGATACACTCCCGATACCCGTGGATTGGAAACATGGTGTCGTGTGACACATTTTTTCACGTGGATAAACGCGTTCGTTAGCTGCACGTAATTCATGGGTGATTTGTGAAGTTTGGTGGGCCTGGCGTGTGATCGGGGACCGCTGTACAGCGGCTGCCTGCTGCGCAGGGCATGGTGTCTGCAAGTTGTGTGTGACGGCTTCGTGGCTCTCTTTCAGAGGTTCAATTAAAGAGAAAATAAAAATCTCAGAAATACGACAAATTATCTCTTATAATGAGCCGCGGAGCGTGAAGCGCGACATTTCTTTTCTCTCTCAAGAGTAAAAAAACAGGCTCTATCTACGAGGGGCCCAAGTTTCAATAAACGACCGCCTGATTTTGCCCTCCTTTCGACCAGAACGACGTCCATAGAGCACCGATTGACGATCTGCTGGCCTGTGAGGAAGAAGAAACTATAGGAGGTTCTTCACCACACAAATCTGGTCGCGCTCCGACAGCAGATGGTCGTGCTTCACCGGCATTTGCACCCAAAAACGGTAGGAGATACTCACCCCGAACCCCGGGAATTGCCAAGGTTTTGGAGGAACACAAAATCGGAGATCTCCCGCCCACCCACACGCGGTAGCTTAGTTCACACCACGGGAGAAACAGAGGAAGCATTCAGCGAAACACACCGCCGGGATTGGCAAGACAGAACGGCGGGGGAAGGGAGCCATACACAGAGCTAGTGGCGGGTGCCATTGTCATTGCTGTTGCTTAGGTGCGTGGAGAGGCATCATCAGCAAACCCAACCTTGGCCTGGGGAAAACATATCCGAACTGATCCCAGCGTCGTTTATTTTTCGCAATTTCTGAGCGTCCTAGATCGTCCTGGTCTGTACCAATCACCACGCAAGACGGAGCATGGACACAGCTCGTGGCGGATAACTTTGTTTCTGCTGTTGCTTCGGTGTGCGGGGGGGTTCACCTAGAAACGAAAAGATATGCCACAGAATAAAATGCTCTCCATTTTTATGGCGGGGTGTTTTTTCTCGCATGCATGCACTGCCGACTCTCGCCGCCTCCAACTTCCGTGGGTCCTATGCATGTGGCCCCGTGGCCTCTGTCAGCCGCCACACAAGACGTGTCGTACACACAGCTCGTGGGGAATAGCTTTACAATTGCTGCCGTGTCACTCTGTGCAGAGAAACCATCGGAACACCAAATCGGTGTGGAATGTATTCGTCACGTATGATGTGTACAGTACCAGGTAGTGCACACGGGTCTACCGTCGGGGACATAAGATTCCACACCCCCTGCATCGAATATTTTTAAAGCTCGAGTTTCCACGACGAAGAGGATGCGTAAACCCAGCGAGATGTTGTCGGAAAGCCCTCGACGAGACGGCTCTCACACCACCGTTTTCGGCACCGCCGATCTTTGTGGTGTGCGGAGCAACCGAGCTTTGAAAATTGGTCAGGGTGTGGTATCTTGTGTCACCTACGCTGCTGTATGCGCACATGCGCACGAATCCAACGGCCGTTGCAGAGGAGGAAGGAGCAGCCTTTTTTTGTTGTTGTTGTTGATGACTAGATTCAAAGTCCAAATTGATTGGCTGCCATTCGCCACCGCGAAAAGCATCGCAGACAGACTACTGCAAGATCTTGAGGTCGGCTACCCCGAGGCTCATTGCCCCGCCCTTGCTGTAGTATCGGTTTTGGTCGTGACAAGCCAGTTTGACTCTCTGAAATCGGTACTTTCTCTGAAATGACCTCTTAAACCGTAGCCGCTCCTGTGGAGGACGTCATGGAGCAGCGGCATGCGCGTTGGCACGCTCAGATATGTTTCTGGGGGCCGTTGTCTTTAAGGCTGCAGCGGCGGTAAAGTAAGTCCGCA